ATGCTGGGTTGTGCTCTGATGTCCCTGCAGCTGCCAGTGCCTCCAAGGAGAGGTCACAGCACCCAGGGGACAGCAGCAGAGCCAGGCAGGATCTCCAAGCGCTCCCACCACTGCCCAGAGAGGGAATGAAGGATTTGTGTTGCATCAGGAGGAAAAATTCAGGAATTAACCAAAACCTTTAGATGGATGAGGTGCCCCTCTGACAGCAATTTAGATTATCAGAGACTATTTTCCTAATGTGACCAAAACTTGAGAAGATGGCACAGAAAATGATCATGGGATGACTCATCATATGACATAGGTAAAGTGGTTTCTTCTACCTGTAATGCACATGTAATGAGAAATTTATTTTCAAATTATATTTAAGCTTGGGCAAGAACCAGTCTGAGGTAAAAATAATTGCAGAAGGAAGGTCTGAATCCCTGATGATCTGTGGGCAGTTTACAAGGCTTGTGGAATTTGGGGTACCAAGGGCAGACTCTGGAATCTGGGTAAGGTTTGCAGCTTGGCTGACAAATGACTTTGAAAGAAACTTAAATAAATTTAAAGGAATTTAAGTAAAGGGCTAAAGGTTTTAATATTACCAGTTTCTGCACATCAGGGCTGTGCTGTCCAGGTGCTAAGTGGGAAAGAGAAGATCCAGCCAAGGTTTTGGGGTCTGTGTGAGCATCACTGAACATCTCTCATGGTGTGGACACGGAGTTCCTCTGCTCTGGGCTCACCCCTTGCCATGGCCACAGGGAGACCCTACAAATAATCCCAGAGCAGCAGCAGCAGCAGGGTCTCTCCATCCTTCACTCCCATCTTGCCAAATCTGTGTTTTCCAAGGCTCCTGAAGGCAGGGAACAGTCCTGAAGGAAGGTTTAGCCCTGCAATGGGTGACCAGTGACCTTCCCATGGCCAGCTCGAGGATTTTGCTCTTCACACGAGGGGGCTCCGTCTGCTCTGGCTCCATCCCTGTCCCAGGATCTGGATCCCAATGCCAGGATGCTGTTCCCATGGCACAGGACAGCAGCCAGGCACCAAATCTGGAAATCCTGCAGGCAGCCCTGAGAGCACTGGGAATGCTTTGGAGCATCCAGGCACGTCCTTGCCCATCCAAACAAAGAGCTTATTTAAATCTGGATTTTTAGTGTTTAATTAAAAGCTGGTTCAAAAATACACTTACCATTTTGGGTTGGAAGTACACATGAAGCAGAAAGTGAGGATCTGTGGATTTATTTCCATTGAAAGGCAAATTATTAACTTTCTAGTCATACGTAGGTGTGCCTGCCTTAACTCCATACCTTTCTAAAACAGTGACTGACCTTTTTCAACAGTTCATATTTTTCTTTCTTTCTTTTTTTTTTTTAGAAATTCAGCCTTACACTGCTTCTTTCCCTGCTCAGGTCTCACACATTGGTAACACAATTCTGTGCTTATAAACTGCCACCAAGACACTCCTAAAATGAAGCCTGGTGAGTTGGCTCCCATTGCTCCCCAAAAAATGGACATGCAGAACATCTATAAAACCTGGAACCACACCCATTTTGTCTGGGAAAAAGAACACAAAAGAACAGCAAAAAGGAGGGATACAGGGGGCTGAGCTGTCTGGGATTCCTGCAGCAAACACTGTGGAGAGACACTCATAAATGTCAGGGATGATTTTCCAGACCAGTTCCTCAGATGGTGTTGGGAAAGAATGAATTTATGCCAGTAGGCACCAGATGCAGTTTTGGGGCCCAGGGTACAGAGTGGGAAGCCTCTAAAGCCAGAAGAGAAAAATAAAAACCCCTGCCCTTTGTAACAGCCAGGATGGGCTGCAATGACAAATGAACAAGGCAGCCATACACTCCATTCTAAAGTGGGGAATAATGGAAATTACTCATTATTCACTTTATTTACTAATAATGATACAGAATGTCTTAAGGGCAAGGGGGCAAAGCAATTCAACACACGATTCAGGAGGAAGATACATCTCAGGCTGAGATTTTGCAGCATAACTTCATGACAACAAAAGATAATTTCTGAGCATGAATACTCTTCCTTAGAGGCCTCCCTTAGGCTTCATTTCCAGCCTTGGGCGTGGAGCTGTCGGTGAATTAATTGGAGATGGTTGCAAGCTCTGGGCCAGAGCAGCTCAGCACAGGGATGGCAAGGCACTGTTGAAGAAGGGCTGGAAGTGTTTCAGCAGATCTGTCTGGAAAAGAAGATGCACAGCACCTGTGCATTTAAACTCAGCCTGTTTGCTCCTACATTTTCACAGCCCAAAAATCCCGGCCTGTTTTAACCTAGTGAGTAGGAGATCTGGCATGGGTGTCACACACAAAAAATGCAAACACAAATGCAAACCACAGTGTCAATCTGAAATTGCCATGCTAGGCCAAGCTTATTTTATTACATACATTCTGCAATCTAAGGACTAATATGTTCATAATGTAAACATTAAGCATACAGAGTTAAAATTCAAGGCCACAATAGTTTTGGTTTTTTTGGATTGTCCCTTTTTTTTGTTTGTTTTTTGTGTGTGTGTGTCTTTGGTTGGCCGAGATCAACTCGTAGTGTATAAATGCATAAGTTATATAATAATTATATAAAAAGGAAAAAAAAAATAACATTGAACTTGTATACTTCATTCTGACAAACGCACAGCGTTCGCGACTCGGTAAGAAAAACTGGCGCCCGCCTAACAAAAATACTCAGGTGATTTCTGGTTCTGGCACTCAGGGGTTGTCTCTTGCTCTAACCCATAGAAAACAAACTCCCTTGGTAATGATGAGGTTCCAACTGGTAACTTTTAAATATCAGACACAATTCCAGTTTTGATTTTGGTTTTTTTTTTCCTAAAAAAAAAAAAAAAAAAANCTTGCTCTAACCCATAGAAAACAAACTCCCTTGGTAATGATGAGGTTCCAACTGGTAACTTTTAAATATCAGACACAATTCCAGTTTTGATTTTGTTTTTTTTCCCTAAAAAAAAAAAAAAGAGAGATGCATATTCTGATTTCTCGCTCCTCCTTCTGCTTTTTCCCTTTTCCCACTTTTTATAACGACTGAATCAAGTCTCTTCCTCCTGAAATACTGGGAATGGTATAATACTGAGCAATATGTTTCACAAGTCCAAACAAGTGTTTCTTCATAGTCCCAACACTACAAAGTTTTCAGTCTTTTCAGTCTCTACTGGTCAAGAAGTTTCTTTCCTCCCCTTCTCACCACCTTCATCCTCCTCCTTCTCCTTCCTGCTTCCTCTGCCAGGTGCAGGCCTCTGATCTACAATCATACACTTGCCCTCCAGCACATTCTCATTTCCCACGTTTGGCTCAGGGTTCCTGTAAAACTGTCAAGGAATCTGAAAGTTTGGGTTTTCTTCACAGTTTGAGTAGCTGATTCGCTCTGATGAATGGATCTCGTTTGACTTTAACCACAACACTGCTGTTCTATTTCAAATCAGCTTCCACACTAACCAGTCTCTTCTGCTGATATGTTTCTATTTTTTTAAATACAGATCGGCTTTTTTTTTTCCTTTTTTTTTCCCCTTTTCCCTCTCTTTTGTAATGATCCAGATACTGTATGTTAGGTCACTATAGACTTATCCTTATATTGCTGTAGTATAGTCCCAGTTTTGCACTAGCATGATATCAAACTTTACACACAAGCTTATCAACTTTTTAAGACCACCAGCTTCCGTAGGTTTTCCTTATCATTTCATGCTTCTACCTACAACAGTCTATTGTTGTTTGGTCCACAGAGTCGATGCCCATATACATTACATTTTAGTATCTTAATACTTCTTGGATATTTCCTTTAAATCCCTACTACAAAAAAAAAAGTCTTTTTGACATCTATTTTTAATGTGGTTTTGGGCTTTTTTTTTTTTCCCAGCCAAACCTTCGCTTGTCTCTTTAGGCACTTTTAATTCGAGTACTCCAACAGAGTTCATTGCGACTCCTCAGGGACCGAACCCCAGTGAGAAGCTCCTTCGCTTTGCCTTGCTGTTTATCTCCCCCAACCCCACTTTAGTAGTAGGTGCCAAGATGAGAAGGCATATGAGCAGCTGGCAGCCTGGTGTTGGGGTAGATCCCTCCAGTCGGCGAATTCCAGTAGGGATTGGGGGCGGCAAAAAAGCTGGAGGATGTCACGGGCAGGGCAGGGGGGTGGGGAGCCACAAAGTTCATCTTCTGCGGGTGCGCGTGGTACGAGCTCATGTAGGGCAGCTCCGAGGGGTACTTGTACATGGACGACTCCGGCGGGTGAGGCTGCAGGGCCTGCGCGATGCCGTGGAAGTCGAACTTGTAGGCGTAGCGCTTGCCGTGCACCTTGGTCATGATGTTCTTGTCGTAGTAGTAGCGCAGGGCGCGGCTGAGCTTGTCGTAGTTCATGTTGGGCTTGCTCTTGCGCTCGCCCCAGCGCCGCGCCACCTCGTCGGGGTCCGTCATCTTGAACTCGCCGTTGGTGCCCTCCCAGGTGATGCAGTTGGAGTTGGAGCTGTCCGAGAGCAGCTCCAGCAGGAACTGCCACAGCTGGATCTGCCCGCTGCCTGCGGGGAGGAACACAGCGGGAATGTCAATAACACTGCACGGGCTCGCCCTGATTTGGGGAAACAAACAAAGCTTTGCAGCTTTTGTTTAAGTTGTAAAACTGATATTTCAGCTTTATTACAGCGCTGGACGCATGTGCGAATTGTTCTCCTAAAATGACATGTCTACCTCCGGGAACTCTAGATCTCTTTTTATCTTTTTCTTAAATATTTATATATTTTTATGTATATATAAAAAAATATATATACATTATATATATAAACACAATAATTATTATATACTTTTATTTATTTATATATTATATTATATATTATATTATATTTATATATTATATTATATTATATTATATTATATTATATTATATTATATTATATTATATTATATATTTTTTTCTTAATATATATATTATATTTTATTTCCAGAGGGAAATATATCTTATATTACCTTTTTCTTAAATATAAAAATATATATGCATGCAATTTCACAATAGGTTCGTAGATCTTTATTCCACTGATTTCACGTGACACTTGCTACTAATTCTTTTTTATCAGAAAGAACTCTTGGGTCAGGTTTCTACTTTGCTTCATCCTCAAGGACCCCATTAGGAAATGTTGGCTCCTAACTCTTTCTGGTAGCCAGTCCCCTATAGGAATTTGACAAAACTATGGAGTGACAAAACTATCCTTTGTCCCCTCAAAAAGGAAAGAAGCCCAGAAGCATCTCTCCTCGATTATGTGAAAAAGACACCTCATAGGACCTTGGCAACTTCATCTCAAACTTAAGGATAGCCAATTGGACAGGAGCCAAAAAGTCCTGAGCAATTTACTAGAAAAAGACGAGAACAAAGACACAAATCGCTTTTCTGAAGTGTTTTACCAGGAGCAAGAACCTCTTGCACCTAGTTTGGTTTTTCTCTGTTTGCTATTTTGCCTTTTACTAAAACTTTTTTGTTTCCAATACTGCAACAGAAGCCGTCCCGCTGATTTTATGCCTCCAAAGGTAGCTGAGCTATCCTGGGTGAGTAATAGACCTCCAAGAGCTTATGAGACCTGGCTTGAGGAGGCAACTATTACTGTCCCCCTTCTCCCAGGACTGCCTCACGAAACCCTAAAGAGCAGGGATAATTGTAATGTGTCGTGTTCTCCCTCATGTGAGTGGCAGAATGCCATTCCATGGAGGCTTAATTGTTACCTAATGTCATTCAGCGCAGACAATTGATGGGGAAATAATACAGGGCTCATTTAGGAAACTAATCTCCAAAGTTCAGCACAAACAGCTTTCACTTGCGTAACACTCGGCTTGTTCTCACAGCATTATGTTGCAACTCAATGTTCCCTGCTATGGAATGAGCCCACACAAAATGGAGAAGTTTAGAGCAAGCTGGGCCCGTGCCAAACCATATCATCCCTTTGCAGCATTTGGGGAAATGCACAACGGAAACTTATTAGCTTGCTGTTACACTGCATACAAGCAGAGGGCAAAACAACTGCAAGAACAGTGAAAAGGTCCATAAAATACATCCTTGTCATCATTCTGCTTCAGATGAGTTAAAATGATTATTTTACGTTAAGACATAAAATGTTGCTGTTGCATTTTTCTCGCTCTCTGCCAATTCCACAGCAAAAAGAAAACAGTCTGCTGTGAACTTTGCAAAAGTGAGGTAGGGCAACAAAATTTGTCCATTTTAGACAAGTGAAAGTAGATTTCAAAGGGCCTTGCCACTGACAGCCGTGTTAGAAGCTTAGCATTTCTTAACAAAGCAACACTGAAATGATGCAAAATGCAGCTGAAGCAGCTTGCGATGCAATCTGTTTCACAAGCACGGTGTCAGCAGAATTTGCCAACCAGCCTGGATGTGCTAACTCTGAACTACGTCTCTGACCAGGAATAGGTTGGGTTTCTTTCTTTTTTTCTTATCCAAACCAGCTATGTGGGTATAATAAACAAGCTTTTCTTTAGAAAGCTTATAGTAGCAATTACAATATCGAGCTAGAGCAGCATCTGAAACCCATTAGCAGTTTATACTTCAGTGCAACTGAAACCCATATTCATTTAAATTGTATTTATCCAAACTGGCCTTAATGAATTTCTTCTGTTCCATTAACATGCATTAAATAAACAAACAAACAAAAGAATCCATGGTATGAGCAAGGCATGCAAGTTTTAATACACGAAACATAACAAGAGGATTAGGCTTTGAAAATCAATAAACAGTTCAGCACTGGACAAAACACAAATTTTTGAATAAGCAATCCAACATATGTTCTAACATAAACACTTGCCTTCCAAATGTAATATATAGTCCTATGAAAATAAATGGTTGCTGTCAATTTCCTTTTAATGAGAGAGTAATTCCACTGATTTATAAACACACAAAACATGTTAAAGCACAGGAATGATGGTGTGGAGGAATTCCATACCCAAATGTTAAGAAAGAATCCCAATCCAGATCGTGTTAATGTCATTCACAGTAATGAAATCAACCAAATGGACACTTGATAAAATTTGGCAAGCCATGATTTATGACCAAATTAAAGAGATGTAGGCCCCCACTTCCAGTCAAGACCAGTGCTGCCTGAAAACCTCCACCACCTCAGGCCATTTGGAAAATCCTACTCTTAACACTTATTTAATTACTTTCCTCTGCCACACAAAACTGTTTAGAGAGTCAGCTAATCTAGAACTGTGCTCGATGAGGGTAGAAATGAAAGGAAACTGATCAGCATTTTGGCAATTTCAGGCCTTGAAAAGACATGAGATTGCTGCAAAAAGAGCCATTGTCATGGGGGCTGAGGAGATCTGTGTGGAATGAGGAATGTTGTGCCCTGGGACTGTCCAGGCAAGGGACACAAGTGGAGCACACAGTGCCAGTCCATTGTGGTGGGCTGTGCTGTTGATCATGGTGCTGCACAGCCACAGCGTGTCCTGCAGATTTGGAGCAGTGAAATCTGCACAACTCCCAAGCAGAGCTACTAAATCATCCAGAGATCTCTGGTCTTAAGCAAAAACATGATAATCCAAGGTTTCACTCAATGATCCTTGACGTGTTTTCCAACTTGAGTAACTCTCTGAGTCTGTGATTGTGTTCTAAGCCACACCTCCCTTTCCACAATGCACCCCACTGCCTTCTTGAGATGGGACAATATTTTTGAAGTGTTTGACCCAGTTATTATTTGCAAATAGATTACACTTTCCTGTTTTTTGTTTTCTTTTTCTTATATATATCATCCCAAAATTTTGTATTCATCAAGGCCAGTATGATACTGTGATGTGGATTAACAGAATCTGGGACACAGCTGATGAAGAGTGGTTAAGAGATTTGTACCCTTCTGGAGGGGTAACTGGAGACCAGATGGGGTCTCTTACACCCCTTAACCAAATCCTGATGTTCAGGAAACTGAAGTGAACTCCAGCTTCAAAGGTTGGACTTTTTGGAGGTCCTTTCCAATCTTAATGATTCTAAATTCCTCAGTCCCACCCTTGTGTAATTCAGAAATTCTGCAACACTGGGTATCATCAGCTCCCCCTGAGGGAAGGGAAAATCAGGGACATTCCTTTCCAGCTCTGGTCTTACAGCTGCAGTGGGGACACTCAGTAGTGAAAGAAAGGAAAGCCTCCGAAATCACAAAAATCCCTTCTCACCTGGATTTGCGAGTCGGCTGCTGGTCGGTCCAAGAATCTGATATGGATCTACAAAATTGTGAAAGAAAGATTTAAAATCATGCAACAGCATTGTCAAATATTTTAGGTACCACTTCTGAGCCTTGTAAGGGGCGGTGTGCACTGCCTGGTGGGACAGCAGGTCCAACACCTGAGCAATTTTCTGCCTCTCCATGGCCATATTTGCATGTTTTCCTTTCAGACTCGGTGTGCAAGGACAGACATTTGCTTTTTGCACTGTAAGAATGTGCAGATGCATATATTCAGAATGTAAATTTTGTTATGAAGCATTCTGGTGGTGGAATCCCCATCCCTGGAGGTGGCACTCAGAGCTCTGGGCTGGGAACAAGGTGGGGATGGGACACAGGTTGGACTCAATGACCTTGTAAGTCTTTCCCAACCTCAGTGATTCTGTGATTCTCTTTTATCACTGGATTGCAGTGAGGGATCCCATGGATTAACCCTGCAACTGGTGTTTTCAGAAGAGCCTCTGTCAGCCTTACAGTGCCTGTAGCATCTCAGTATTTCCCTCTGGAAATGAAAACTTATTTTGTCCTGAAGTCCAACAGGGAAAAAAGGAGGGATGTGACAGCAGGACCAAAGCCAAAGTGAGGGGCTGCAAGCACCGAGTGACCCTGTGGCTTTCACAGCCAACAATCAGGTTACATTCCTCACACATTTAAATTATCTGTGCAGCTCACACACAGCCATTAAAAGGTCCTCAGGACTTACATAAATCATTGGTATATTTCTAGGAGGATTCTCGTGGTTGGAAAGCCAGATTAGATAAAACAGTATTTGCGTAAAATTCAGTGTAATACTTCCCAGGCAGTCTGTGCATGAGTTAATGAGACCTAGTCATGCACCTAGTCTTGTTTAGCTCTAACAAAAACCAGAATAATGATCTAAAATCCATGTGATAAAACCTGGCTCAGAGTCTTCTGAGCTAAGAATATCCTCTAAATCTCTTTTATTTCCTCCTTCTAACCTTTTGCTGTTAACAAAAGCCATGACTGACTCAGGACCTTTGGAGTGCTCTCCAGCTACCTGTCCAAAATCCAGCTGAGTTTGCAATAAGGGATTAGGTCCCACACCATGGATTTGCTGCTCTGAGAACACAAAAGGCACTCATTTTGCTAAACCACTACTCTAAAAACCCATAAACTTCTGCTTTCTCCTCAGTTTTCCAACAAGATTAAGAACCCCTCTAATATTTCTGTTGTGTTGGGTCATGTAGATTTTCCAGCTGCTGCCATCTCAACCACTCGGGTCTTTTGACATCTCTACCTTTCACCTTTGTACCCAAATTGTAGATGGATTGTTTTAAGAGCATTTTCATTCTGGAAGGCTGTCACTGCCTTTAAACATTACACATTTCATCCCAAATCCAGCTGCAGAGCAAACTTCATTCACATCTGGGGTTTTTGTGGTCTCCAGCTGGAGTGGTCTGAACCAGATTGTGCAGTTTGGGTGCTCTTCTCATCACGTTCAACAAATCCAGGCAGAATTCAAAGCAAATTACACCCACCTAATTGAGGACGCTGGTCTTCTGTTTTGGGAACTGTTGAGGATGATGGCTGAGAAGCTGAAAATGGAAAAAAAAAATCCCATATAGTTATTTTTGGGTTAGGAAGTTGGTCACCAAACCTATGAGAGGTCCCCAGGCCTGGAGCTCCTGCTGCCCTCTGCTCCAGGATGGACACAACAGGATTGAAAGCTCAGAAAAAAGCTTTTTAAGGCTCTATGGTGATGGACTTGATGAAGTTTGAGTTTAAGGGAGGATGTGGCTGCCCAGGGACACCTCCCAGCACTGCCCATACAATTGGCTTTCCAAAAAGGCACAGATAAAACCCCTCCAGAGCTCCAGCAATTCCCTTTGGAGGAATCCACGTTTCCCCAGCTGTGCAGATGCTTTTACCTTTTGACTGAGGGCTGGGGTGGCTGTGACTCGTCCATGCTGATCTCCTGGCTTGCTCATAAGGCAAATCTGTGAAGGAAAAAGACATTTATTCATGCAGATGTGGCCTAAAGTGGTTATGACCAGAAAGGGCATGTTTGAGAAGAGTCAGGATTGGGAAAATTACTGAAACAGGCAGGGAATTCTTTGTTAAAACCTTTAACGTCTCTAAAAACAACAGTAAAAACAACAGTTGTGCTCTGAACTGCTCTGCAGAGCTGCCTCTTGTTGTCAGAAGTTTGAGCTGCACTGAAATGGGTGCTGCAAAGAATCTTTAGAGACAATAGAGAGTTCATCACTTCCAAAGGTTCAGGGTACCCCCTTCAGTCCCCTTCCTCAGCCCAGCACACCAAGGAATGGCACACACCGACATCATTGATAATCTGTGCAGAGTCTTGCAGGAAAAGTCCCCCAGGAGCTCATTTTATGCATAAATCCTCCCAAATTCAGTGTTTAACAGTGTTTCCTTTCAAAAAGACAGGCTGTAGTTGATTTATTCCTTTCTGCTTCTTAGGACAAGCTCCTTAAATTTACACATCTAAATTTTCATTTCCCTTTCTTTCATTTACTCCTTACTTCTATTTTATTTCAGTGCTTTACCATATTAAAAAAAAAAGAAAAAAACCGAAACCATAAAAGCTTTCCTCATAAAGCAAATGTAGTAAATTCAAATGTTTGCGCTTAGAAATCTTTGGCAGTTTCCTGTGCTTTTCCACGGCTGACTTTAACACATTAGCTAAAATTACTGCCAAAATCAGAGACTTGTGTAACTTCCAGGGCCTCAGGAAGGTAGCAGTGCCCACCTGGTGGAACTAAGTTGGTGCAGATGTCTTGACTCTCAACACTGCTTGTGCTTTATTTCAGAATCCATGTTTGGAAATGAAACCAGAAAGCAAAGAAACAGCCCCAGCCTGGCTCTGTGCAAGGCAGATGTATCTGCCCACTTCCAAGCACTGCATGGAAATAAAGTGTAATGTAAAATGCACAACCAAATTGCCTTTAATTTATTTAGTCTGTTAGCTTTGCCACCTCCCAGAACCCTACACTTCAAAAACTTTGCTTTTGCTGAGACTTGCAACTGATTTTTGTACTGCATTTTCATCATGAATAACCTCGTATCTCTTATTTCTTGAGGACTATTCCACAGATTCAGAGCAAATAATGTGAATTTTACAGGTCATCTCTGAGCAGAAGATGAATCAGTGTGACCTGCAGATGTCCTGCCCAGGCTTAGACCAACACTGCTGTTTATTAGAGACTTTATCATCTGGCAAAATCAATCCAGAATTACTCTGGTTGTAATTGCAGTGGGTTCTGAGCTCTGTCTGTACAGAGGGGGCTCAGCACTGGGGGTTTGCAGGTATCTTGTGCCTTGCCTGGCCAGTTCCCTGCGCCATGGCAGCTTCTCCACCTCCTCTCCAGATTCCCTTGCCAGATTTGGTGACATAAAGAACCTATTT